CCCTGAGGTACAGGTATCAGCCTCCTTGTGCAGAGCAGAGAAGGGGGAACTGTCTATAGCTGCGCAGCTGGCCCGTGGTGTTAGGGCCTGGAGCCCTGCAGCCCCGTATCCTCAAATGCTAGATGCACACCATGGAGTTTATTCTGGGCAGGAGCAGTAGAGAGCCACAGCAGGTTCCTAAGCAGAGGAAGGCATACAGGGTTTTTGCTCCTTGGAAACTCAGATCTGACGGAGGGTCCTGCACAACCAGGGCGGGGTGACGGGGACCTTCTGTCAGAGGGAGCCAGTGGCCAGAGCTCCTGAAGCTGGCCCCATCTGCATGCCGGGCCCCCTTCTGGGGCCAGCCAGGATCAGCGCTCCTGGACCACGAGGCACTGGCCTTCCCCAGGGTGGCCCACGACAGCTGGGGAGGCAGCAAGGCACCGGGAGGTGCCTGCTCCCAGCGCCAGGGCTCAAGGCCCCCACCCAACACAGTGCACCCCAGTGGCGTGGATTCTGGGTGGGCCAGCACGGGTCCCTCCCCCACGCCGGCCAGCCCCGAGCGCCCTGGGCTCTGAGCTCATGGGTCTCCTCCTTCCCCTCCCCCATGTCTTGTGGGGCCAGGAAGGGGAGGGGCAAGGCTTAGAAATCACAACCTGGAGCAGGAGTGTTGAAGACCATCGTTCAAGAACCTTTGAGCAAGGGGTCCAGTGGACTCTCCCCGTGGGTCGGGGCTGTGCTGGGGCCCCTTCCTGACCCCAAAAAGCCCAGGGCTGGGGGGCCTTTGCCCTTCCCAGGTGCGGCTCTATGTTTGGTGTGCCAGCCTGGACGGACAGACAGGGCTGGAGAGGAAGGGGCTGATTGCTGGGCACCTCCCTCCCGCCCCTTCTCCTACCCCCCGCCAGGTTTGGGTTCTGCACCAGGTGAGGGGCTCACCGGTGTATCCTCGGAAGGGACATCTGAGTGGGTGGCCTGGAGGGCACGGGAAGACTGCAGAAAGATCTAGGAGGCAGAACCCAGGGGTCTGGGAGTGGTGGGGAGTGGTGGCGGGGTGTGGGGAGCACTGCGGGCGGCTGCTTGGGGTACCCGGAGGCACAGCCAGGCTGGCCAGTGGGACGCTCCCGTCGGTGTGGATGCCCGGAGGGGAGGAGAGGGCAGCAGGCCAGAGGCCAGGATGGAACTCTGAGCTCCTGCTTGAGGCTGTGGGCAGAGGCCACTGTGTCCCCGGGACAGACAGAGAGTCCTGGGGAAGAGGGGGGCCAGGAGGAGGGCCTGGGCGGGGGAGGAGTCGCTGCGACCAGATGAGGCCGGTGCCCCGCCATTGGTAGCTTCAGGGCAGGGGACATCCGCGGAGGGGCCTCACTCAGAGGTGGGCTGACAGGCAGGGTTTGGGGAGTAGAAGGGGAAACTCCCGCTGAGGGGCTCCTCGGGAAGCCCCTGGAGGGGCGGGGCCGTGGGGCGGGGCCTGGGGAGGCGGGGCCGGAACAGCTGGAGGCAGTGCCTGGAGGGGGGGATTGGAACCCCGGTGAGCCCCAGTTCCGGGCTGCGTCGAGTGGCCCCTGGGGGCAGCGTGTCCCTCCTGCCTGTGGCCCTGTCCCCTGACGACGGGTGTGGAGGGGCAGGGCGCACCTCTGCGTGCAGGGTCCCGGGAGCTTCTGTGAACTCGGGGGCCGAGGCAGGAAAGGGAGCGAGGACGGCAGGAAACACCTTTCGGCGGCGGCCACTTTGCTCCGCTGGCCCCCTTGCGCACCCACGCCCGCCCCCCCCCCCCCGGGGGGGGGGGGCGGCCCGCCGGGGGCGCGGGGCCCAGCGTGCAGCTCCACACCTCGGGGTCCTTGGGGCTCCAGTGTGGTCCTGCTCTCCTGCTGTCCTTCCCAGAGTCCCGCGCGTCTGCCGTGACCCCAGGCTTGCCACAGCCAAAGGCAGTAGGCGGAGCCCCTTCCCCACAGGCCCGCTCACCCCCCTCCCCTTTAGGTGGCCCCCGTGGTCCTCCAGGAACCCGGCCACTCTCCTCACCCACCCTCCTTGAGCTCCACCGCCACAGCCCCACTGCAACAGCCTGGGCCTTGCCAGGCTCCTGCCCAGCCCCCTCCTCCCCACCCCTCTCCGTGCAGCTGTCGCCCCAACTCAGAGCTCGGGGCGGCACCGGGGCCAGGACAGGAAACCTGAGGTGGACAAACATGTAGAATCTGCCAGAAGCTCCCGGCAGAGCCCTGGCCTCCCTTGCTCCTTGCGGAGCCCGGCCCCTGAGCACGCCCCCTCCAGTCCCTCATCGTCCCGGGACCTCCCCGCAGCCCCACTGTGCCGTCCCAGGCACGAGGGGCTGTAGACCGGGGCACTCGGAGGGGGGCCTGCCCACCCGGAGGGCCCTGCACGGGCGGCGGGCGGCCGTGTGCGGATGACCCGGCCCGTGTGAGGGGCTGGCCCAGCCCTGCAGGCCAGCTCCTTCCTGCCTGCCGTGGCCTCTGGAAGGCAGTGGTCTTCCCCGAACGTTCACATCCTCTTCTGGAACATGGCAGCATCGAGGGTTAAGAGAGGCTCCCTGAAGTCCTCTGTGCACCAGATGGGTACGTCATCAGCAAATACTTTCTGCATCTACACGCAAACGCACACCCCTCCAGAGCCCCCAGGGGCCAGTCCTCAGAGCCCCAGCTGCCACCAGCACCACCCCCCTGCCGGCCTCCCCTCCAGCCCAGGCCCAAAGCTGCCACCAGCCACCACCCCCCCACCCCAGTGTCCCCTCCAGCCCGGACCCCAGCTGCCACCAGCCCAGGCCCAGCCATCATGGCGTCAGCTCTTGTGGCCAATCTGGGAGAATCCCAGGGCAGGCTGCCCAAAGGGTAGCAGGTGTGTGATTGCTGGCCCGGTGGAGGGGTGCACCCGGGCACCCCCCAGGAAGCCTCAGCTCCCTGCCTCGGCCTGTCCTCTCCCTGGGAAGCCAGGGTACGGGGCTGCTGGGCTCTGTGGCCGGGCCCGTAGAAAGCAGGGGAGCAGAGAGGAGGCAGCCAGACTTGCCAAGGAGGGAGCCCTGGCTGTTGCGTCCGCCCTGTGGCCTTGTGTGGGAACCGCCTCTCGCCACATCAGCTTCCTGGGTATAAAGTGGGGCTGATGGTGCCCTTCCCTGGAGCTGGGGTCGCGGTGCCTGGGGCGGGCTTGGCAGGAGCAGGGACAGTGACCGCGCGCCGGATAGACTGACTCTTGCTTAGTCCTTGTGCTGGAGGCGGGCGTCTGTGGCCTTGGCCTTGTGTGCCGTCTGGCCTGGGCAGGGGGTGCATGTGCTGCGGGCGCTGTGCTGCTTTCTGGGGTGCCGAGGGGGCCAGGCCCAGTAAGCGCCTCCCGTGGGCACCTCCGCCTGCCTGGGGGCTCCGCGGGTCTGGGGGTGTGCCCAGGGGTGCCCCCCCCGCAGACCCCGCCGCTTCCCTCGGACCCTGCCTGGAGCTTCCTTGAGTGTCTGTGCCCCCACCTGGTCCAGGAGCCCAAGCCCTCCGTCCATCCGTCTTCCATGTTGATGTGACCACCCGTGTCTGTCCCCAGGCTTCATGTGGAAGATTTCAGCCTGGACTCCTCTCTGTCTCAGTAAGTGCTTGCAGGGAGGGGGCCGCAGCAGGGAAAGACAAGTGGCCTCCCACCCCCAGCAGACCCTGGGAGGAGGGGGCTCAGAGTCCAGTCTGCCCTGCAGCCAGGAGGGACCGGGCACGAGCCAGCCCTGGCCACCGCCGCCCCGTGCCATCAGGTGCTGCTGCTGGGGGTGGAGCTGAGGCCGGGGATGGGACAGTGGGCGGTCCTCTGGGGAGGAGCCCTGGACTAGCAAACAGGGCCATCCAGAGGCGGACACCCACAGCCCTCAGGGGTGCCCAGCGGGAACGGGGACCCCCACCATTTGCGTGTGTGGGGACAGGCATGCAGATGACTGCTGGGACCCTCCCCCCCTCAGCCTAGGCCCCAGGCACGTCCTGGCTTCCGTTAAGATCCAGGTCAAGTGGACGGTGGCTTTGAGGCTGGGGAGACCAACATCCTCCTCGGAGCGGCCACATCCTGTCCAAGCCCTGGGCATTCAGCGTGGCCACTAAGTGGGACCCGATATCATTAATTACCATTGTCAGCGGCGACAGCCGCCGCTCACTCAGCTTCCAGCTGCTGCTGACACTCGTCCCCGCCACAGCCTGTGACCCGAGCCTGTGATTACCCCGGCAGGTGTGTGGGAGCCGGGGGGGGGGGGGGGGCTGGGCCACAGTCCCGGGCCTCTGGCTCCCCAGCCCAGCCCCCTGCGCTACGGTGGTGGTGGGGCGGAGGGCCCCTCCAGCACCCACAGGGCTCTCTGGGGCACCTCGGGCTTCCCAGGGGGAAACGGACGATTTGCGGCCACCCCAGCATTGTCACTGGTAGAGCAGACGCTCCGTGCCCACCAAGGCCCCAAGAGGCTCTCCCAGGCCCCCGGCCCAGCCGAGGTTCTCTCCAACATGTGTGCAGGAGGTCCCAGGTGGGGCCGCCTCATGGGGGACACGCGGGCTGGGGTCACCTGTCCGTCGGAGAAGCCACTGGCCACCGTGCCTTTCCTCGGTCCCCCAGCCTGCTCTGCCCCTCCGGGTTCCCGACACGGGATGTCCCTGGCAGCGGGCCACCCTGGGGCAGCAGGTGGCCTGCAGGAGGTGGCCTGTGGCACTGGGCAAGAGCTAGAAGAAAGCCTTTCAGCCCTGGTGGATCCAGAGCCCCGCCACCCCGCAGGAGGGTCGTGGTGCCTGGAGGGATGTCCCCCACAGCCATCTTTGCCCACACGGCCACCAGCCCCCCATGGGCGAGTCTGCGAGCCTGGGGCTGGGAGTGGTGGGGACAGCGCAGCCTTCAGCCCTACCCCACCCCCCACCCCTGGTGCCTCACTACTCAGCAGACACCCCTGCCCGTCCTCTGCCCCCAAGCCCGGCCCTCTGCCCGCACACCTACAGGAAGTGCCAGTGCGTGGGGGGGGTGGAGCAGGCCACATGTCTGTCCTGGGCTGGATCCCTGGGCTGGTCATAGGCTCTGCCCTTGCTCGGAATAGCCGGCCTCGGGGTTGGCAGTTAGGCCGGGGCCCTGCCCTTTCTCTCGCGCGTCAGTCTGCGGGTTCCTGTGTGGAGGGAGCGAGCCACACGGCGACACGCGGAGGGAAGCAGACAGTGGGACCCCGGCCCCATGTGAGTGCACGGCTGTCGTGGCCCGGCGGGCCAGCCTGCCGTGCTGTGTGCTTAGCGTCCGGCCACCCTCCCCGCCACCGCCCTCTTGACTCTGCCTACGGAGCTTATTGGCACAGGCCATCTGTGCCGGGACCGCCTGCCAGGATTCTCTGGAAGGCCTGCTCCCCGGGCCTGCCTGCCCGTTGGCCTCCGGGTCAGCCTGCCGGTCAGAAGGCAGATGTGCAGCCCAGAGTCCGCCTGCCCGGCTCGCCCCAGGGCGGCCACCCTCGCCTGGCACGTCCTGTCCCGGTTTCCGGTTGGGGAGGTTGGAGCTGCTTTGCCGGCACAAGGGGGACTCTGTGGGTCCCCTCCAGCGTGGACAAGGCCCTGGCACAGGCAGGCGGTCGGCCTGGGCCCACTCAAACACAAGCCTCGTGGGGATGGGGCAGAGGCAGCCGGGGGCTGACCCTTCCACCCCAGACATTCGAGAGGCCCTGGTCCCGTGCAGAGCCCCAAGCCCCCGATGCCTCCGACCCCCTGGGCCAGCCTTGGGCCTTGGCAGGCCTTATTTTCCATACGTGTTGGGATGAGTCTGGCTGGAGCCCTCCGAGGGGCTCCAGGGCAGGGCTCGGCAAGAAGGCCCTTTTGTCTGTTCGGTCTGGACCCCTGTCCTCACCAGCCTGAGAGCTGGCAACCTCCGAGGACAGAGGAGCCTGGGGTGGGGCCCAGGTGGGGCCTGCCCAGTCCCCGGGACCCACGGCCTGACCCCGGGGGTTACACCCAGGGCTTTCTGAGTCCCAGGCTCCCCTCAGGCTCTGGGCCCCGAGACCACGCCCTTGGGGCACCCTGGCTTTAGACCTTCTTCCTGGGCCCCTGGCGGCAGGGGGCCTCGGACCGAGTGCACGAAGGAGCACGGACACCGACGGGGGGGAGGGGAGTAGACCCTTGGCCTCCACCGTGGGGTCTGGGGCAGCTCGATGTTGAGGCCGAGCTCCGGGGCCACCACACCGTGTGTTCTCAGGACCCCTCCCCCGGCTCGCGGGGCTTCCCGCTCAGCCCTTCCCTCACTCCCCAGAGTGGCTTCCGTGAGCTTGGTCACGCACCCCACGCAGGGCCTCGAGCCACGGCTGGACCAGGGTCCCACCCTGCCCCCTGCCCGTGAAGGGCATCAGCCAGGTGGATTTGTGGCCCGGGGGCCCGTCCTTTCTGGGAGATGGGAGCGACAGAGCCGGCCATGGTCGGGACCTAGAAGGAGACCACGGGCACCAGCTGAGCTGATGGGTGCCAGGCCCTGGGCCACGCATCGCGGCGGCCTCTCACTTAATCCTCCTTCGGGTGCAGGCACTTAGCAGACTTGAGAGGTTGAGGGTCAGATGCAGAGGGACAGGCTAACTCTCCCCAGAGCCAAAGCCCCCCCCCATCTGCCACCCTCCAGACACCGGTGGTGGGCCTTTCCTGTCACTGCCCGCACCCCCCCCCCCCAGGTGAGGAGACCGGGGCTCGGACGGGTACAGGGGCCACGGAGCAGCCGGGCAGGGGAGGCACAGGGCTTCTGTCTGTCTGGCCAGACCCGTCCGTGACCCCGGGGCCCACCTGCTTCTTCCCGTGAGCTTGCTGAGCCGAGAGTGTCCTTCAACCGGGCCCAGGCTGTGCTGCGAACCTCGGGGCCGCGGGGGTCCGGAAGCCCTCCAAGGTTTCCTCCTGCGTCGGCCCAGCGCCCCGTGGGGGTCTAATTACGCTTGTCGCCTCGACCGTACTTCAGGCTACATGGACAGCTCGTAACCTGCTGTCTGTGGTGGTGTCAGAAGTGGGCAGCCACAGCTCATGAAAAATTAAGAGTGAGAGAGGCTTCACGAGGCTCGATTCACGCGGCCACGTCCGCCAGCCCACGGCGTCTCCTTCACCAGCCCTCTCCCTCCGCGGGCCCCCGCCGCTGACCGCCTTGGGGGGCTGTCCCGATGGGTGTCTGCAGCTGACCCCGGGGGACAAGGGCTGGCTGAGAAGCGACCGGGGTTCCGTTTCTGGGGAGCTGGGAAGGGGCCGGGTGACCCGGAAGCAAAAGTGTCCAGGCCCGACCAGTCCCAGGTCAGCAGGCCTGACCCCTTGGGCCTGGGCAGGGGCGTCAGGATGCTCTACGTGCGGCCAGGGGCCGTTGGCAAGCGGGGGCAGGGGCGAGGTTGGGTCAGGTCGGGGGTCCCCGGGGAAGGAGCCGGGGGTCGCTCTCTTTTGCCAACAGAGACCACAGGAAGGAGCCAGGGACTCCGGCTTCCTGCTTCGTCTCACCTGCTGGCGTCTAGCTGTCCAGCAAGGATAGGCAGGGGACCCGGGGGGAGTGGAGCGGGGCTCTCAGCCGCATAGAGCGTGAGGTCCAACGTGGGGAGAGGGAGCGCCTCCGGCTCCGGCTTGGTCTGGGGAGGGTACCCCAAAGGGCAACGTCGGAGGGCAGCCGGGGGCTCAGAGCAGGGCTGGGGTTTAGAGGTCACCTCGCGCAAGCGGGCCAGGCGGGTGTCGAGGGGGGCCCGTGATCAGCCCTAGGGCGTCCCGCATTCAGAGTTGAGATGGGGGCAGCTGAGGAGTCTGGCGGGGGGGGGGGTCGCCCAGAGGGGGGTGGGGACAAGGAGGCCGCATGGTTGGTGCCCTGGGAGGCTCAGGAGGGAGGAGCAGGGCGGGGCCTCGCTGGCCAGATAAGGGCCCCGTCAGGGAAGCGGCCTGAGCGGGTGGCCCGGGTGGGGTGGGGAGACCCCTCTGTGGAGGCTTTGCTTCGATGGGGCCGGAGGGTGTCGGGGAGGGCTGTTCCCGGGCTGGGTGCTCTTCCCTCGGGCTCACTGACTTGCGTCCATCTGCCCCCCTGAGCTGACCTCACCGGGGCCCGGGCCCAGCCAGGCTTGTTGGACCAACTCCCCAGAGGCCCTCAGGAGCCCCCGACACAGCTCCAGGCGGCGCCTACAGAGAAGGGTGGGATTCAGGGCTTGAGGAGTAAGCCGGGAAGGCAGGGAGAGGGCTCCGAGGAGAGAGAGGAAAGGGGTCTGCGCTGGGGTGCGGTGGGGTACAGGGGTGTGCTGGGGGAGTGGGGGGGTGCCATGCGGTACAGGGAGTGTGGGGGTCTGCTGGGGGTACAGTGGGGTGCCACGGGGCACCGGGGGTGTGCTGGGATGTGATGGGGTGCCGTGGGCACACTGGCTGTGGTCTGTGGGAGGCCCGTCCTGCCTCTCTGGCTCCGGGGGTCCAGGCTGTGGCCGTGTGACCCTCCCTGCACCAGAACCCAAGGGAGGGGAAGAGCCCACGGCGCCCAGGCCTCCTCTGGGAGCCGTGGCCAGTGGAGCCCACTGTGGCCCAGGCGGAGGTCCCCTGCCTGGAGCAGGTCAGGAAGGTGCCGGCGCCCCGGCCGAGGGCCCGCCGAGGCATCGCCCCGTCACACTGTCCTGTGCCCACGGCAGGCTGCGGGGAGGAGGGCCGTCTCGCGCAGCTTGGAGACGGCGCAGCCAGCCCCAGGCAGAGCACCCCATTCAGCTGTGGGGGGGCAGAGCAATGCTCGTTTCTGCCCCCAGGGGAGCCCGGCCAGGCGGAGGCCATTCACAGCCCTCCCGCCCGCGGGCCGGAGCCCCCTGCCCCGGGGCACGATGGCCGGAAGGTGGGACCCCCAGGACCGCGCTCCGCCTGTCCTACTGCCGTCAAGGCCAGGGTTTCCGTCCTAGGGGGACACCGGGCCCCCACCGGGCCGGCGCGCAGGGCACAGCGGCCACCGCGGGCCTGGGTCCAAGGCTGGGGCGGTGCTGGGCGGTGGCCCGTTGCCCCAGACCCCGTGTTACCCCCGGGGACCCGACGGCCCTTCCCGACTCCGCCTCCTTCCCTGACACGCCGGGTGTGCCGTGGCCGGTCCCCGGGAGGCTGGGAGCCCGGGCAGGACTCAGGGTGCCTGGGGATTGGCCAGGGGCACAGGCGAGCCTGGAGGAAGGAGAGCAGCCTGGGCTGGAGGGGCCACGGCGGGCCTGACGGCCGGTGCCTACGTGCCCGACCCTCTTGCAGGCTGCAGCGGGCCTCAGGGGACAGCCCCGGGGCCAGCGGGCAGAGCAGCCGACCATCGGCTTCCACTCCTACTTAGGGGACACTGGTGTTTGAGCCCTGTGCTGAGGGCCATCAGGGTCTGTTTAATGCTGGTAGCGGGCTGCCGGTGACGGTCAAGACTGAGGGCCCATGGCTGTCCGCCTCTGGTGCCCAGAAGGTAGCAGCCGACCGGCCCCAGCCGTGCCCGTGGCTTCGGAAGGGCTGGCGGGCGGGTCTGCCGGGACCACGCGGGCTGGCCGGACACCGGGTCGCCCTCCCGGTCCTGCTGTCTCCGCGGGTCTCTCTTGGCTCCTGCGGTGTGGGAGAAGCCGGTCCCGCCCTGGGCTTCGGGCTTGTCTCCCTGCTCGAGCCCCCGCTGGCCAGAGCCCCCATGCCCCTCTCCCCTGCCCCCAGGGTCCAGGTGGAGTTCTACGTCAACGAGAACACCTTCAAGGAGCGGCTCAAGTTGTTTTTCATCAAAAACCAGAGATCCAGTGAGTGGGGGCCTGCGGGAGGAGCGGGGGCACAGGCTGGTGGGCGCGGGGCACGGGGTGGGGGAGGCCCCTCGGCTTCAGGCCACCTACCTCCAGTGGGAGCGGGGACCCGGGACGTGCGGGGACCCTGCTCCCCTGCTGGACCCCGGGCTGGGCCGTGGCCGTCCAGGGCACCGGCACAGCCTCCTCCCAGGCGGGCCCAGCCCTCCTACCTGCACCCTGGAGGGTCCTCTGGCCACCTGCCACCCTTCGCCGCTCCCCCGCCTTCCCAGCAGGAGCTTAGCTCCCTGGGACCCCATCTGGGGTGCAGGATGGGGCACGGGCCCTAGCCCATCAGTGTGCCCCCCAGGCCCCCCCCTTCTGTCCCAAGGAGTGCGTGGCGTGGGGAGCGGTCTGCACCCCATCTGGAAGGCAGGATGGGGTGGAGGGTCTCCCCCCGCAGTGCAGAGCACCCCTTAACCCTTGGGGGCAGCCCAGGATGTCCCGGGGGCCCAGGAGCCCTGACCTGCATCCCCCGCCCGCAGGCCTGAGGATCCGGCTTTTCAACTTCTCCCTGAAGCTGCTTACCTGCCTGCTGTACATCGTCCGCGTCCTGCTGGATGACCCGGCCCTGGGGATCGGATGGTGGGCGACTGCGGGGCTGGGGGCAGCTTGCCGGGACAGAGGCCGGTGGGGTCAGTGGGGGGGGGGGGTGTGCCCAGCCCCCGGGGACTCTTTCCTTCCCAGTGTCCACCCCCGCAGAGCGGGCCCTGGATGCCACTCAGGGTCCCGCTGACCGACAGGCTTGGCTCGGGGAGAAAGGTGCCCAGGCCGCGCACTGCGGCTGTGCGTGTCCAGCGGGGCGGGAGCGACATTCCGCTGCCTTCAGCGGGGGAGGGGCGGGGTGCAAGCCGGGCAGGGCCACCCGCACCTCCTGGGTCCCCCCCTCGCTGGCACAGAGCTCGCGCGGCCCGCCTCCTCCGGGTCTGACTTGACCGCGGTAGAGTCGGTCCCTCTTGCTGCCTGGTCTTCCTGCCACCGGTCCTGCCGGTCGCCCGTGCGGGAAGCACACTCTTCCCCTGGAGGCCGTTGCAGTCTCTTCTCCGTGCCCATGTCCGGCAGCCTCCGCGACGCCTTGGCACGACCCCTTCCCTCCCATGCTGGAGACCACTCTTCTCCCCTCCGCTGTCTCTGGGCTTCCGGTGCCCGGCTGTGTGGTTCTGGACAGTGCCGTCTGCCCATCTGTCCTCTCGTGCCCCCCCCCCCCCGGGTGACTTCCTTAGCGCTGCGTCCGGCCCCGGCTCAGTCCTTCTGCATCACGCTTTAATTTCGGAGACTTCCTTCTGGCTTCCCGCCTCTTCGGAGGTGATGTCTCTAACCCTGCCTTTCTTACGTGTTTCTCTTGGGCTCAGTCTCTGCTTCTCCCTGGGTGGGAGCTCACACTGGGTGGGTTTCTTCAAACGTCCAGCAACTTGGGCTCTGCTCACACTAAGAGTGGGGCACTCAGAGGCTGAAGTCCCATCGGTCAGGACAGGCAAAGCCTGGTCACCACTGTCACCTGGGACAGGCTCAGTCCTCAGAGCGGATCCGTCCCGCCTCTTCCCTGAGGGCGAAGTGTGGCCACTTGACTCCTGGGGCCGAGCTGGGAAGGAAGCTGGGGCCGGAGGACAGTGCAATCTGCGGAGCAGGGGGGCGGGGGGGCGGGGGGGGCCCAAGCCAGACACCCTTTGACCCTCCCTTGGGGCCCCTCGTGTCTTCATCCCAGGTGGGGCTGTGCAGACCCAGCCGTGGTGGTTTGAGAAGGAAGACTGGGGGTCCTAACTGACCCTCAAACCGCTTTCGTCCCACCTTCTCTTTCCAGAGGCTCCTGGGACATCTGGTTGCACATCCCTACAGGGACCAGGTCTAGGAGTCATTGCCGGTCCCTAGCACGTGGATGGGCGGGTGGGAGGGCGAGTGGCCGGATGAGACGAGGGAGTGGCTGGGTAGAACGATGGGCAGGTCGGTGGCTGGATGAGTTACGAATGGGGGGCCGGTGGCCGGGTGGGTAACGGGTCGATGGTTGGAGGACGGTGGTGGGTGGATGGGAGGACAGCCGGCCACTTCTGTGGGCAGCGAGTTTGCAATAACAGCCCCAGTAAGGCTCGGGGAAGTGGGTCAGTTGGAAGAAGAGTGGGAAGGAGCTACCTGTCACCATGGGGCTCCGTGAGACTGGGATCCTCTCGGTCCGTGACCCTGGCATTACAGCTGGGCAGAACGAACAGGTCTGCCCCTACCCCCTTCCCAGAGGCTGGGCATCCGGCGGGCTGAGAGAGGCTCGTTCCTGGGGTGACTTGGGGTGCACCTGGGAGTCGGCACCTCAGGGTGGGAGCCCAGCTGTCCCTCTCCCTGGCTCGAGGGCATCGTCCAGCCTCGTCTGCGGCGGCTCCGGCCTCCGGGAGGCACCGATTGCCCCGGGGTCCGCTCTGACCTCGCACGGCCCTCCCCGGCAACCTGCCGCCAGACGGGGCAGGACCCCCAGCTCTTTCCCGGCTCTGCCTTTCCCCTCCCAGAGTGCTGTGCTCTCCCGCCCGGCCTGTCCGCCCCTCCCCGCCTGGGACCCTGCCCGGCGGTGTGCAGGGTGGGGGCAGGCCGTAGGAGCGCAGCCGCCTGTCTGAGGTGCGGGGACTTGGCCCTGGGTGGGGGAGCGGGTGCCCGCCCACCGGGCTCCTGAGCCCACGGCAGCCGTGGGCGGGGTCTCTTCCGGGGCCGGGCTGGGCCAGCTCTGTCTCTCCACAGCTGGGGCTGCCCGAAGCACAACTACACCTTCAATGCCTCGTCCTCCGAGATCAATTGGTGAGTTCCCGGCCCGGCCCCTCCGGCCGGACGCCCGGCCTTGGCCCGCGCAGTGGGCAGCGCTAGGCAGTCCCCGCAGAGCACCTGAAGCAGCGGACCCTTTCAGAATTACAGGTGTCGCCCCAAGTGGCTTGACTCAGCGTCCCTCCAACTCCTGGCTCAGCCCTCAGACCGAGGGTGGGGAGGGGGCCCGCGGACTGACGGCGGGTGGGGAGGGGCCCGCAGGGAGGGCCCTCCAGTGGGTCACCGCTCCTGTTCGCACTCGCACCAAGGAGAGCGGTGCCCCCGTCAAGCGGTGCAAGTGACCCCAGGATGACCGTGACGTCTGGCCCAGCGTTTAGGACGCGTCCCCAGGGGCCCAGCCACCTCCTGCCTCACTCGGCTCGTCTGTACAGACGGCCCCGGTCCTTCCGTTACCCGAAGGAGCACCGGCGTTTGAACAGACCCTGCCCCCGCCCCCATTTGCTTCACCTCCCGGGAGCCCCCCACCCCCGGCTGGACTGGGGAGGAAGGGAGGCCCCGCGGCTCATCGCACTTGCCCAGGGAGCCTGTCCAGGGCGGGGGGGGGGGGGGGTGCCTCCCGAGCCTGCAGCCCTGCCCCACGTCCCGCAGCTTTGGGCCTGGCCTCACCCTGACCTCCCAAGGGGCCTCCTTTCCTGAGGGACCTCTCCCTCCCTTCATGTCCTTGTCCCCTCGAGGGGGAAGGCAGGTGCCCTCCACCCGCCTGCCCTGCGGAACGGCTCGGGTCAGGGGAGGCCTGGGGGTGGGGCTGGGGGACACCAGCCCGAGGCTCACCTCCCTCCCTCCCCAGGGCGCCCATCCTCTGGGTGGAAAGAAAGATGACTCTGTGGGCGATTCAGGTGAGTGGGGGGCATGGCTCCGGGTGGGCCCTGCTCTCCCCCCGTCCCACTCAGACTGCGCCCCTCCTAGGTCATCGTGGCCATCATAAGCTTCCTGGAGACGATGCTCCTCATTTACCTCAGCTACAAAGTGAGTCCCCCCCCCCCCGCCTGGCCTGACCCTCCCCTCTGACCCCCCAGCCCGTTCCCTGACCTCCTGGCTTGCCTTTCTCCCCCCTCCCCGCCCCCCACGGCCCCCAGGGCAACATCTGGGAGCAGATCTTCCGAGTCTCGTTCGTCCTGGAGATGATCAACACGCTGCCCTTCATCGTCACGGTGGGTGAGCGGCCGGCCGAGGAGGGGGACACCCCGGCCCCGGCCCCCTGACCCGGCTCCTTCACAGATATTCTGGGCGCCCCTGCGGAACCTGTTCATCCCCGTGTTTCTGAACTGTTGGCTGGCCAAGCACGCTCTGGAGAACATGATCGTGAGCTCCCGTCCCGGGTGCCGCGTCCCCACCCCCCCCCCCCCCGGGAAGTCCCCGGCCGGAGGGAGGAGGGGTGAATGTGCGCGTGGGGCGAGAGACCCGGCCCGCGTGACCCGGGACCCTGGACAGACCCTCCACTGAGCGTCGGGCCCACGTCCCTTTCCGGGGCTGTCCACGGGGAGTCTGACGCAGAGGCGGGAGGGGGCGCGGGGCCGGGGGATGGGACCCGCTCACCCGCCTGCACCTGCGCCGCCGGAAGGGCCAGGCGCCGCCCCTGACAGCCCTTGTCCCGCAGAACGACTTCCACCGCGCCATCCTGCGGACCCAGTCGGCCATGTTCAACCAGGTCCTCATCCTGTTCTGCACCCTGCTGTGTTTGGTCTTCACGGGGTGAGTGTGCCCCCAGGAGCCCCGCCGCCCTCTCCCCCTCGGGCCGCAGCTCAGGAGGGCCCCGCGGTGGCAGGGGGCCCAAGGACAGCGGGGGGGGGGGGGAACGGCCCGGAGCCCACAGCCCCGGGCTGCGGTGGGCCCGGGTCCCGCTCCTCTGGGACCCAGGGAGACCTAGGTCTGGCTTCCGGGTCTGCACCTCGGAAGGCTGGGCACCGGCCCGAGCCCCGTGGGGACCCTTTGGCACGAGGTCCAGCTGAGAACGAGGTCTGGGAACGGCCAGGGTGAAGAGTGGGGGGGAGGGGGTGTCCCCTTTCGTGCCCGGCTCCCGCCGCGGGTCCTGGGGTACCGGCCCTGCCCGCTGCTGGTGAAGGCGGCCACCACGTCCCGTTGCCCCGGCAGGGATGTGGGGTGGGCACCAAGGCCCGGGAAGGAGCGAGGAGGAGCCACGTGCTTCCTGCCTCCCCTCCCGCACGCCTGCCCACACCACGCAGACCGCAGCAGAGGGGGACGGGCAGCCACGGGGTCCAAAGCTCAGCCTGCTTTCCTCCCGGCAGCCGGTGTGTCCTCTCATCCCCCTGGGGGAGGGTCTCGAGCACTTCTCTGTGGCACACCGCGCTGTGTGCCATGGGCCCCCTAGGCCCTGCGGTCAGCAGCTTCCGGTGTGGGGCGAGGACTTGGGGTCACAGGTGCGGGAAGCGGGGCCGTCGGGCTCTGTGCCCCGTAGGGGGCTGTCCGGCCTCCTGCCCGACCCCCTGGGTGAGGATGAGGCTCCAGGCGGGGCGCAGGCCCACCCACTGACCCCCAGGCCCACACTCCACCAGTGTGGGTCCGCATCCACTCAGGGCATGTTGCCCAGGGGCCTCGAAACAGCCACGGGTTGGAAAGGGAATATCCAGGGGGAGACCCGAGGGGCTGGGCTGTGCCCACTCTGGCAGACCAGGATGGGAAGTCCCCGGAGCCATCGCCCGCCCCAGGTGTCCCAGGCCCCTCCCACAGCCCAGGGCAGGGAGCACAGGGCCCCCCCTGGGCCCCCCCCCCCCCGCCCCAGGTGTCCCAGGCCCCTCCCACAGCCCAGCGATGCCCGGACTTCCAGGACCTGTGGCATCCAGCACCTGGAGCGCGCAGGGGACAACCTGTCCCTCCTCACGGCTTTCTACTTCTGCATCGTCACCTTCTCCACCGTGGGCTACGGTGACGTGACGCCCAAGATCTGGCCGTCCCAGCTGCTGGTGGTCATCATGATCTGTGTGGCCCTCGTGGTGCTCCCGCTGCAGGTGAGCCCCCAGCCCCCACACAGGCCGCCTCTGCCCAGCCCGGAAGCGGGCAAAGCCGGAGGCCCGAGACCCGAGGCCTCACGGCAGGGCGAGGAGCCAGGGGTGGCGTTCTCGACGGGGAACCACAGGCCACTGGTGCCGTGCCTGCCCCCTCGGCCGCTCCTCCGGGGCCGGGCACAGATGCTCAGGACCCCGGATGCCCCCCGGTTATTCGGGAAGAGACGGAGCACCCGTTCCCTCCCCGCGTGCTTCCCTTTAAGCCCGCCACACGCCCGCTAAGCCTCCTTCCCAGGAGGCAGCAGCGGGGTCCCTGACGGTGCCACAGACTGGGCCTTGGAACGACAGAAACGTGCCCTCTCCCGGTCCGGAGCCTGAGTCCGAGGTGTCCGCGGGGCCAGCCCATCCTGGAGGCCCCGAGGGCGGCCCCCTGCACCCTCCCAGCTTCCGGGGCTGCTGGCCCTGGGCCCCCCTGGCTTTTAGCTGCGTCCCTCCCGTCTCTGCCCCGTCTTCACGTGCCTTCTCCCCGTGGATCCCTCCGTGTCCTCTTTTGAGGACACCGGACAGTGGACAAGGGCCCACCCTGATCCTGTCTGACCTTGTCTCAACTAAGCACATCTGCAAAGACCGTTTCCAAATAAGGTCCCAGTGGGAGGTTCCGAGTGGACAGAGTCTCAGGGACGCAATGGGATCGGCTACGGTGAGGCCATGTAGCCCCCACCTCAGCTGGGGGGCACGTCGTCGGGCCTCCTTACAGCTGCCCAGGCCCGGAGCCCGTAGCACAGCTGTGGTCGGTGAGGCTGCAGCTGAGTGCCTGTGTCGGAGCCCCCGTCCTGCACAGGGGGCCCCCCACCCCGGGCCCGGCGCCTCCAGCTGTGGAGCCAGGCCTGTGCTTCGGGGTCACGGGGCCTGGTCGCCGCCACCTAGCAGGTGCTCCCTAAATGCGGTGAGCTGCTGGCACGTGGCCCGGCACAGGCGAGCACCAGACGGGGTCCTCTGCTCTGTTAAATACACGAATGGCCTCGATGCTGGGGTGGAAACGGCCGGAGACCCTCAGGGTCTGGCCGTCACCTGCACCTGAGTCAGGCTGCAGGGGGGGCCCCGGGCAGGCCAGCACCCCGGCGGCTCCACGGGGGTCCCGTCACCATGACGCTTTTATCTGTCCTTTCCTAATTTAAAAGGACTCCCGACACTCCAGGCAAACATCCAGGAAGCGTGGGCTGGGCGGGTGGCATCCCCAGGCCTGCGCTCAGCCCTGACACGGGCTCGTAACCACTCGTACTGAAGGTGCCCTTTCCACGTGCCCAGTTCCGGCTCCGGCTGCCAATTCCCCAGGGCGCCCTCGCGTTTCTCTGAAAGGGATCTCATCGTCAGCTCCGTGTCCGGAGTGCGGACTTCGGCACCGGATAACAGTCGCTCGGCCTCCTGGGCCGGGAGCCGGGGTGTCCGTTTTGCCCCCGCGTGGCACCCCCACGTGGCCTGTGGTGTTGGGGGCCGGGGGAGGTCCACGTGTGTGTTCCCACGGGGGACACCGGGGCCCCCGCAGCCCCCTGAGCCCCAGGCCCCCCGCTGTCCCCCGCTGTCCCCCGCAGTTCGAGGAGCTGGTGTATCTGTGGATGGAGCGGCAGAAGTCGGGGGGCAACTACAGCCGCCACCGGGCCCAGACGGAGAAGCATGTGATTCTGTGCGTCAGCTCCCTCAAGATCGACCTGCTCATGGACTTCCTGAACGAGTTCTACGCGCACCCCCGGCTCCAGGTGAGGCCCCCTGGGTGCCGTGCGCCTCGGCTCCCCCGTCGGCCCCCAGGTCACACAGGCCCACACGGGCAGGTCGGGGGGTGCCGAGCGGCGGCAGAGGTGAGCCCGCACGGGGACTGACACGGCCTGGCCTGCAGGACTATTACGTGGTCATCCTGTGCCCGACCGAGATGGACATCCAGGTCCGCAGGGTCCTGCAGATCCCCCTGTGGTCCCAGCGGGTCATCTACCTCCAGGGCTCCGCACTCAAGGACCAGGACCTCATGCGAGCCAAGTGAGCGCCGGCGGGGGGTGAGGGTGTGGCGCTGAGGGTGGGAGGGCACGGATGCCACCGCCGTGGGGCTGTCAGTCTGGGTGGGGCGTCAGGGCGGGCAGCGGCCCCGGCTCCCTGCCCGCCACTCACCCGGCCAGACAGGCCCCTTGCTGACCTCACCTCGGGCACCTGGCCACACCCACCTCACCTATCAGTCTTCCCCCCCTGGGGATGCTCTCAGATTCCAGCGTGGCTCCACGTGGAGCTGGGGTGGGAAGACGGGCTGGGGGCCAGTTTTCTTTGAAAGACCAGCTGACGAATGAGTTAAGGAGACGACGTCCTTACATGGAAATTTCTAGAATGTGCCAGTGTACACCCCAGGAGACCCCCCCCCCACCGCCACCACATTGTCATTCCAGAAGCCTCTCCTCCTCCTCCTTTGTGATGGAATGTGGGTGCTAGCCCGAGGGGAAGCAGGAGTGCCCACCTCCTGAGCCCTGGGCCCCACTACCTCACCTATAAAATTTCGGAAAGGAATCCAGCATGGAGGCGGCAGTGGCCAGGGGCCCAGCCTGTGACCCAGGACCCAGCTGCAGGCCAAGGGGCTGGGAGAGGCACGGGCCTGGCAGAGACAGATGACAAGCCAGGGTGGGTGGGGTGCAGGGTGGAGAGGGGGTGAGGGTGTAGGCCTCCCCACCCCGGGGGGAGCGAGCTGCAGCCAGAGGCTCTCCAGGTGAGAGAGGGACCAGAACAGGTCAGCCGGGTGCCCAGACCGTGGGAGGGACAGGCCAGCAGGTGGGCACATCTTCACCACCGACTGCCCCAGCCCCGCCCTGGCTTAGTGGGGTCACCAAGGCTGGTCAGTGCCCCGACACCGGCTCAGAAGCACAGAGTGAGGTGGGGTCTCGACGGGGCCCCCCCCCCTTCCAGCTTCTGCCCTGAGCCCCCGACGTCCGAGATGGGAGCGTGGACGGGTCCAGGCAGCGCTCAGACCCGGTGCTTTGCAGGATGGACAACGGGGAGGCCTGTTTCATCCTCAGTAGCCGCAACGAGGTGGATCGCACGGCAGCGGTGAGTGCTGCGGGCACCGGCCCCCCCCCCCCCCCCCCCCCCCCCCCCGCCCCAGGACCACCAGACCATCCTGCGCGCCTGGGCCGTGAAGGACTTCGCACCCAACTGCCCCCTCTACGTCCAGATCCTCAAGCCCGAGAACAAGTTTCACGTCAAATTTGCAGGTACGTTGGGGGCCGCGGGTGTGCACCCAGCTGAGTGTGCACCCAGCTGAGTGTACACCTTGAGGGCCGGGCCGTAAGTGGGGGCTGGAGCATGCGGAGGCGTGGCAGGAGGCACAGCTGAGTGTCCTCGCCCCGGCGTGGGGGGCGGTGGAGCCCATGTAAGTCTAGCCGTTTGAGGGGGCAGTCCTGCACCCGGGGCCCGGGATCAGCGTGGGCAGGAGCCCAGGGCTGGGGCATCTGATAAGCATCTCTGGGCGTGCTCCAGCCAGGGGTGCCAGGGGGCAGGTGGGCGGGCCCCCGAGCTGGGCTCCGGAGCACAGGTGAGCGGGTGCCGCCAGCCCCCGAGTTCTCACCACGCTGGGAGTCGAGCACGGAGGTGCTGGGGCAGACGAGGTCGGGGAGGCGGGAGCTCCAGGGAGGGCGCTGGGCGGTGGGCCGCCTGCTGTGGGCCCAGTGGGGCCTGGGCGGTGACCCGGCCCCTCCTGCCGCAGACCACGTGGTGTGTGAGGAAGAGTGTAAGTATGCCATGCTGGCCCTCAACTGCATCTGTCCGGCCACGTCCACACTCATCACCCTGCTGGTGCACACGTCCCGCGGCCAGTGAGTGCTGGGGAAGGGGAGACACGGGAGGGGCGCCCAGGGAGGGTCAGAGCAGCCAAGGGGGGGGGGTGGAGTGGGGAGCCACCAGGGGGCTGCTGGGAGTTGCAGGCAGGGACCAGGGTGGGGGTGCCCAGAGAGCCCTGGGTCGAGGGCACAGTGACAAGAGCAGGTGGGGCCTGGTTTGGGGGAGAAAGTACATTTGGTTCCCCACCGCTGGGCCGGACAGCATCGGGAGCCGGGGGCCGCCCGGGGACAGAGACCAGGCTGGGGGCCCCCAGGGCGGGTCCTCCCGGGAGGCTCGGCCATGCAGGGAGGGGTCAGGGGTCAAAGCGGTGACTCCGGCTGCCCGCCCCAGGGAAGGCCAGGAGTCCCCAGAGCAGTGGCAGCGAATGTACGGACGGTGCTCGGGCAACGAGGTGTACCACGTGCGCATGGCGGAGAGCAAGTTCTTCCGGGAGTACGAGGGCAAGAGCTTCACCTACGCCGCCTTCCACGCGCACAAGAAGTACGGCCGGGCGGGCGGGCGGCCGGCCGGGCGGGGGGGGGGGGGGGGGGCCCCGGGGCGGGGGACCGTCCCCCCCCCTCTCCTCGCTGAGGCCGCTGGGGGCGCGGGCGCCGCCCCCTCCAGCCGCCCGCGCCCCCGCCCAGGTACGGCGTGTGCCTCATCGGGCTGAAGCGCGAGGACAGGAGCATCCTGCTCAACCCGGGGCCCCGGCACACCCTGGCCGCCTCCGACACCTGCTTCTACATCAACATCACCAAGGAGGAGAACTCGGCCTTCATCTTCAAGCAGGAGGAGAAGCAGAAGAAGAAGGGCTTCTCGGGGCAGGGCCTGTACGAAGGGTCCGGCCGCCTGCCCGTGCATAGCATCGTCGCCTCCATGGGTGAGGCCCGGCGCGGGCGGGGCGGGGCGGGCTCGCTCGCGGGGCCTGACCCGACTCCGCGCCCGGGGCCCCTGGGAGCCTCTGTCCGCCTCTGACCCGGGGACCCGCCGCCCCCAGGAGGGCCTGGGGAGGGGCCCGCCGGCCAAGCTCAGCCGCTCCGTTCCAGGGACCGTGGCCATGGACCTCCAGAACACGGAGTGCCGGCCGGCGCAGGGCGGCGGGGGCGGCGGGGGCGGCGGGGGCGGCAAGCTGACGCTGCCCGCGGAGAACGGCTCGGGCAGCCGGCGGCCCAGCATCGCGCCCGTCCTGGAGCTGGCCGACAGCTCGGCCCTGCTGCCCTGCGACCTGCTGAGTGACCCATCGGAGGACGAGATGACGCCATCGGAGGACGAGGGGCTGTCCGTGGCGGAGTGAGTGCCGTGCACGGCACAGCCGCTCTGGACGGGAGGGGGAGGGGAATGGGCGTGGCCTGTGGAAGTCGCGGCGCCGGCCAGGCCCGGACGCCCCTGGCCCTTCCTGAGCCCTCCGCCTGCCCTGGGTTGGGGCCCAGGTCTTCCCACTGCCCCAGCGTGTCCTCGGGGCTCCTCAGCCATTTGGCCTCCGGGCAGCGCGCTGACTGTTGCCACCGCCAGCCTGGTTGTGACCGCTGCCCGCCCCCCCCCCCCCCCCCCCGCTGCTCTGGCCCTCAGAGGGAACAGACGCGCCCTGGGGAGGGACTGGCTCTGAGATCCAGGGGGGTGCCCAGGGCCGCTGGACACCGTGGGGCAGGGGTGGGGCTGGCCTCTGAAGCCCTCCCTCCCCGGCACTGCTGGGGGCCGGCCGTGGCCGGGTGGCCGCCCCCGGGGTGTGTGAGCTGGGCGCTGCTGGGGAGACTGGCCCGGCGCTGCGCAGCCAGCAGAGAGGGGCCGGGGGCCGGCGTCTGCCCGCTCACTCGCTAGGGTGCTGGGGGCTTCGGGGAGGGAGGACCGGCCATCAGAGCCCCTCAGGGCTTTACCCGTGGTTTCTGGGCCTGGTGTAACTCGTACGTGTGTCCATGTGCGTGCTGTGCGGCTCCTGGCCTCGGACCCCCAGGGAAAGGACCGTGCCCTGTCACAGCTATGCTCCCACACGCAGGCCAGGGGCACGGACGGGTCTGCGGGGTTTGGCGCCTCCGTGTGGCCGCCTGGGACGAGGCCCTGCCATGCTCTGGGCCCCGGGCGGAGGGCTGGGAGGTCCCGTGGGGGGCGGGCTCAGGACCACCTCTTGCGGGTGGCCGGTGGCCAGGGGGCCGTGCTGAGGGCTCCTGTCCTCCCCCAGGTACGTGAAGGGCTACCCCCCCAACTCGCCCTACATCGGCAGCTCGCCCACCCTGTGCCACCTTCTGCCTGTGAAGGCCCCTTTCTGCTGCCTGCGGCTGGACAAGGTGGGTCACCTCCTGCCACACTGTGTGACGTCATCACAAACCTACGGAAAAACTGCCAAACCAAGAGGGGACTCCTGGCCCTTTGCCCAGACTCCCCGGGTCTCGCCCTCAGTAAACGTACTTCCGCTTTGGAGGAGTGATTTTGCCCGCCACCTGAGGGCAGGTGGAGCCCCCTCCCCTCACCCCTGCGTGTCCCCTGAGGGCAGGGGGATCCCTCACGTAATCTCAGCTCCCTCTCCCTCCACTACACACACCCCTGCACACACATACGCACGCGCACGCACACTACACGTATGTGCACACTCACACACGTACGTGCACACAGCCCAGATCTCGTTTCTGCTAAAGGGCGGGTGCCCAAAACACCTCCCTCCCTTCCCTGATGTGACCGCCCCCCTCCCTGGCTCCAGCTCGCGTTCTGCCGCGGGGACAGTCTCACGGCAGCCGGGAGGGGCAGATGGGCCGTGACAGGATGGGGCCGGTGGCTGTCGGCCATCCGGTGAGGGGTCCCCGGGGGAGCCCGGCGTCACCGCAGCGGCCCCTGTGTGCAGACGCAGGGTCAAGGGGTGGCGGGGCTGAGGGGGCTCCCACACTTGCCGCCAACCGCAGGCCCCGTGGTCTGGTCACCCATGGGGGGGGGGGCAGCCGAAGAGAAGCCCCCAGGCCGCGGTCCTCCATCCTGAGGACCCTCCCCGTGTCCCCGCAGCTGGCCCTCTGGTTCCGGGTGAACCGGTGCTCGCGGGCACGGCGACCGGGGGGTCGGCGGCTCTATCTGCGGGGCTAACGCTGGGCCCGCCCCCCTCCACCCCTCCCCCCCCCCCACCCGGCAGGGCTGCAAACACAACAGCTACGAGGACGCCAAGGCCTACGGCTTCAAGAACAAGCTGATCATCGTCTCCGCGGAGACGGCGGGCAACGGGCTGTACAACTTCATCGTGCCGCTGCGCGCCTACTACCGGTCGCGCAAGGAGCTCAACCCGATCGTGCTGCTGCTGGACAACAAGTGGGGCCCGGGCCGCCCCCGCCCCCCCCCCCCCCCCCCCCGCGCACCTGTGCTCCCCACCCGCGGACACCCCGCTCCTCCCCTGCCCCGTCCCCAGGCCCTCTGGTCCTTGGTAGCACCTGACCTCCCTCCCTCGTGGAGTCCCCGGGAGGCCTCGCCCCAGCCCCGGCCCCGGCCCCCCCGTGCCCCCAGAGCTCGGGGTCTGACCTGGGCGGGACCCGCCCTCGGCCCGCGGTTTCCCCTTGGGTGAGATAAAGAGCAGCCCCGTTGTCGGATGCGCTGCGGCCCTGGGGGACCCCCAGGCAGGGCCAGGCAGGGCACGGGGGGCACGCGGCCCAGCAGGACGGCAGCCCCAGGGCCTGCTCCCCCCACAGGCCCGACCACCACTTCCTGGAGGCCATATGCTGCTTCCCCATGGTCTACTACATGGAGGGCTCCGTGGACAAGTAAGGCGCCGCCTCCCTGCGCAGCCCAGAGCCCAAGGGGTGGGGGTGGGGGTGCCCATTTCTTAGCAGAAGCCCCTCCCCCTCTCTCCTCCAGAGTCTCCTCCTACCCGGTGGTGGGGGTCCAGGTGGTTGAATACCACTGCCTGTGGAGGGGGAAGGAGGGCACCCAAAGGGAGCTCCCGGGATCCCCGACCTGGCCCTGAGGGACCCCCCACCCCCACGTGGCCTCTCCCCACCGCCCCCTGCAGCCTGGACAGCCTGCTGCAGTGCGGCATCATCTACGCGGACAACCTGGTGGTGGTGGACAAGGAGAGCACCATGAGCGCGGAGGAGGACTACATGGCCGACGCCAAGACCATCGTCAACGTGCAGACCATGTTCCGGTGAGGGGCGGGGGGCTCACACCCCGGGCGGCTGCGGCGGGGCCGAGCCGGGTCCTGAGCCAGCCCCCCAGCCGTCGGGGAGCCCGTCCCGTTGCTGCCTCTGTGACCGGGGGACCCCTCCCTGAGCCCCCTCCTCCCCCCAGGCTCTTCCCCAGCCTGAGCATCACCACGGAGCTCACCCACCCTTCCAACATGCGGTTCATGCAGTTCCGCGCGAAGGACAGCTACTCTCTGGCTCTTTCCAAGTTGGAAAAGGTAACAGGCCCCGACCTGACCCCCCCCCCCACCCCCGCTCGACCTGCTGTCAGGGTTCGGAGCCCAGAGAGAGTGGGTGAGGGGCCTCGAGGCTCCTGACCTTGTCGTCGGGAGCCTTCAGGGTCATCGGCCAGAAGCGGACAGTCGTACCTCTGCAGGCAGGGTCCGGGGCTGGGGCCGAGGCTGCCCGTCGTGTCCGTAAATACCGACACGGGGGGCGCAGACTGCCCGTTTCCTGCGCCCCCGACGCTGTGCTCAAACCGGAAACGTGGCCGGTCTCAGAGAGGGGAGGACCCCGTCCCGGGTCACACAGCACGGCGGTGGCCAGCGGACTCCGCCTTTCGCTCCTCGGGGCTCCAGGTAGGGCGTCAGCCGGCGTCGGCGTGACGCTCTGGGCCCAGGGACCAGCCACGGGGACACGGGCCCTGGCTAGGGCACAGGCGGCTCGGCCCTGGTGCTGTGGCCCCCGCCCCGGCCGCTGGAGGCACGACTGTAGGCTGAGGGCACCACACAGGCAAGACCGGGGAGCCCAGGACGGCACCGCCGTGGACGAGGCCGGGAGCAGTGGGCCCTCCCTGCGGGCCCGGAGCCGCCATCCACACCAGACAAGGGAGGGGCTTCCCCCCGAACCCACGCGGATCGTGGACCGCGAGGCCACCCCACGTGTCAGAGGGGCGAGCGCGAGGCGGGCAGGAGGAGGCGGCAGCAGAGCTCCTGCCCGGGGCCTCCCTGGACCGCGCCCTGCCCGGCGCCCGGGGCCGTTCGGAGCCCGCGCAGCAGCCTGTGGGCCGAGTCTCCATCCCCCGGAACGACCGGAAGGCGGACGCTGGTCTCAGCAGGCCCAGCGTGCCGGGAATCCGTGTCCAAAGGCTGGGGCGGCCTTCCCAGCTCCGGGAATGGCAGTCTGACCGAGCACGGCCGGGGTGACTGACCGGCACGGGATCGGGCTCCGGCAGACGTGCACCCGGCGCCCCTGCCCCCCCTCTCCTCCCGTGGTGACCCCAGCAGCCGACCCTCCTCGCTGTACGGCGTGGCCTCCGGGGGCAGGGCCAGCCTGCCCAGCCCAGGATGGCGAGCCCATCGCGTGGCTCCGTGGTCTGGGCCTGGAGTGAGCACGCCCGGGCGTGTGACCCCGGGAGGTGCTTTGAAAAGCGGATCCGCTGTTCGTGGCCGATGTGGCCTGAGGTCCCGCGGCACTGGCAGAGCTCTGGGACCCCACCCACCCCCCACCGGGCGGGGGGGGGGGGGGGGCCGGGGCCCGGCCGGCCCCACGAGTGCCGGGCCTGGAGGCCACAGAGGCCTCGTCTGGACGCCAGGCACAGGGGCTCCTGACGGCTCAGACGGACGGTCCGGCGGCGACGTCCCCCCACAGGAGCAGCCGAGCATTTCCTTGAAGCGCTGACGGTGACTTACTTTTACGAAAGTGGGCGTGTCTTCCGTTTTAAGGACCGTTGAAGGTGTTTATAAAGGGGACCCAGGCGGGCACCTGACGGGCGGCTGCTTCTCCGAGTCCCGTTAAAGGCGCCGTAGCGCCGTGCCTCCCCTGCGCCCTCCGCGCTCTCCGAGGCTCACCGGTGCCGCTCGGGGTGAAGGGACATGATGTCTGTAACGGCCGCTCGCCCTTGTGACGCGCCCCGAGAGCCTGAACACAGACGCCGCTCAGTCCACCGGACAGGGCGCCACCTCCAGAACCGGCTTCCTGGCGGCCCGCACCCGACGCCCTCGCCCTCTGGGTCCCTTGCCTGCCTTCTGCCTTCGAAGCAAGCCTGTCCCCGTGGGAAGGAGGGGGCCTGTCCGGCCGTCGGTCGCGGACGGAGCTCGGCTGCCGGGGATAATGGCCCCGAACGCGCCCACATCCTACTTGCCAGGGCCTGGCCAGGGTGCGGGGGAGACCGAGGGGCCTTCTAGACGGGAGATGGTCCCGTGTGGGCCGAGTGGGCCTAGGGTCCTCACCGGGGACCTTATGGGAGGGAGGGGCGGGTCAGGGGTTGGCGGACGCGCTGCTGGCTGTGGGGGCGAAGGGAAGAGCGCAAGCTGAGGGAGGCGGTCAGCTTCTAGAAACGAGACGGGCCTCGCAGCCACCGGAAAGTCCCCGCGGACGCCACAGAGAACGGGAGGCAGGCGTCTCCGTGGTTTCCGCGTGTGGAGCCCACGCTCCACCGGCCCGTCCGACTTCACTTAAAACCACCAGCTCGGTGACAAAATGACTCACATTAGTTGGAACTCTGGGCAGCGAGACCCAAGCGAGACCAGCATTCCTGCTCCCGGGCTGTGGCCTCGAGTGTGCCGGCGGGGAGGGGGGACACGTAGCTGGCGCCGAGGCCTGAGGTCGTCTGTCCGCTGCGGCACGCACGGCTGCGCTCGCGTGCGCCCGGCCGCCTGCCCTGCGCCCCTGAGTGCCCCTTTCCTGCAGAGGGAACGCGAAAACGGCTCCAACCTGGCCTTCATGTTCCGCCTGCCCTTCGCCGCGGGCCGTGTCTTCAGCATCAGCATGTTGGACACGCTGCTCTATCAGGTCAGCGGGGGCGGGAGGCAGGGAGGCCCCAGGACGCCCGGCCGGGAGCCTTCTCTCCACCTCCCGCCAGCGTCCCGGTCCCGGGCGTCCCTCCCTGGGTCCCGTCGAGTCCTCTCCTCCCGGAAGGGCGCCGCCCTGGGCTCCGCTCCGGGCAGCCTCTGGGCTTCTAATCCCTCTTGACCAGCTGGACTGCGGCGGCCAGGAGGGGCTTCCCCGCGGGAGGCTGAAGGCGCCCGGCGGCCCCCGGGGTGCCCGGCCTCACTGCGGCCTCCCTGTCCGGCCAGTCCTTCGTGAAGGACTACATGATCTCCATCACCAGGCTGCTGCTGGGCCTCGACACCACGCCAGGCTCCGGCTACCTCTGCGCCGTGCGTCATGGGCTGGGCGGGCGGGCGGGCGCGCCATTCTTGGGGGCCCCGCGGCGGGCTCCCCGCTCAGACCACCGCTCGCTCTAGATGAAAATCACGGAGGAGGACCTGTGGATCCGCACGTACGGCCGCCTCTTCCAGAAGCTGTGCTCCTCCAGCGCCGAGATCCCCATCGGCATCTACAGGACCGAGTGCCACGTCTTCCCCAGCTCGGAGGTTCGGGGCCGGGGGTGCTCCCGATGCGGGGGGCTCCCATACAGCAGCCCCCGGGCTGTGGACGCGTGCCCCTCCCACGTTCAATTCTGGGGATCCGGGCCTCTGCTGCCAGGCCCTTCCAGGGTCCAGGGCACGCGGCCCTGCGCGTGGTCGGGTGGCGGTGGCCCCCGAGTGGGGCAGAGTGGGGCAGGGGAGGCCGTAGGAGGAGGGCGGCCTGGCGTGCTGGTCCCAGCCCACAGGGGGCTCAGGCACTGCTGGGGCGGGGGGCAGGGGCAGAAGCGCCCACGGGCACCCAGGCTGCCCCCCGTTTCCTTTGCAGCCACATGACCTCAGAGCCCAGGTGAGTGGCCCCTCAGACTTCACGTCAAGGGGTGCTGACGTGTGCACCGTCCCGCCTGAACCCCCCACCCCCACCGCCCCGAGTCCGGAGGGGCACAGGGCCCTGGGCTCTGAGCAAGGGCCGGGTCAGGGAGTGAGCGCCCGGGGATGCGTGGGCCGTGGCGCAGCTCAGGGCGCATGGGATCACCCCTCCCTTACACGAGGGGAAACTGAGGCCGGGGGTGGGAAGCCCAGGCTCCTCCAGCCCCGTGTGCCATCTCCGTGTCCTGCTGTGGCCCCCTCCCTGACGGTCTGGCCCAACCTCCACCCCCCAGCCCCTTCCGGGGTGCCGCCCGCACCCCGCACCCCTCCCGCATCCCTGCTCTCCCCCGCCCCCCAAGGTGGGGAGACGGAGGTACAAGAGGTGTAGCGCAGGGCCCGGTGGGGAGCCAAGGACACAAGGGCCCGGAGAGCTTGAGGGCGTTGCCCTCTTCCACCCGGCAAACTCGGGCAGACCCGGAGGCTGGCGGTCTGGGGCTCGGGAGGAGGGCCTGGGCCCTGGGGTCCCCCGGCGCGGGGCGGGGGAGGGGGGGCGCACCTCCCCGTCCCCGTCCCGGCCCTCACCCTCCTGCCTCGGCCAGTCCCAGATCTCGGTGAGTGTGGAGGACGGCCCGGACACGCAGGACGCGCGGGGGCCCTGGGGCGCGCGGGCGGGAGGCGGCGGCGGCGGCGGCACCCACGGCCGGCACTCGGTCGGCGGGGACCCCGCGGAGCACCCCCTGCTGCGGCGCAAGAGCCTGCCCTGGGCCCGGAGGCTGAGCCGCAAGGGCCCCAAGCCCGCGGGGAAGGCGGCGGCCGCCGAGTGGGCCAGCCAGCAGCGGCTCAGCCTGTACCGGCGCTCCGAGCGGCAGGAGCTCTCCGAGCTGGTCAAGAACCGCATGAAGCACCTGGGACTGCCCACCACCGGCTACGGTAAGGGCCCGGCCACCCGCCCGCCACCGGGCCCGGGGCAGCACGGGGTGGACCTCGGGGCCCGTCGGAGGAGCCCCTCGGGCGCGAGGAGGGCGCCCCCTTGCGGCTCTGGGGCCTCGGCCCCTCCCAGGGGTAAACAAGGGGCCCCGACGGCCCGGCACGCGGGACCGGAAGCGGTGGGGCGGGGCAGGGCGGGGCTCCCCAAAGCCAAGGGCAGGGTCCTCGCTGGCGGGCGGACCAGCCGCCTCTGGGATCAGACACGCGGGGGTGCGCTGTGCTCTCGTGGAGAACCGGGGGACCCCGGGCCGCCCCTCCGGCGCCTTCCCAGCAGCCAGAGCGTAGGGGGCGCGTCAGGGGGCAGCTGGACGGATGGCCCGGTGCCGGGACGCCCTCCGTCGACCACAGCGGACGCCACGGCCGCCTGCCCGCCCCGCTGGCAACGCCGCCCCAGGCGTTAAGTCTTTGCCGGCAGCCCCCTTCTCTCTGGAGCTTCTCTTGGGGAAAAGCTCACGACCTTGACCACGAGCGGGCCCGGAGGAGAGCAGACCTTGCTCACCCTCTCTCTGGAGCGGCTGCCTGGCGGTGGGGCTGAGGGGGCGCCGCTCCCGCCGCTGCCTGTCTGCGCCCCAGCGGGCGCCCGCTCTCCCCACCCTGCTTTGTGCCATGTTGCCTGGGACGGGACCCTAGAGCCCCCTCCAAGAGGGATCAGAGGCCAGAGTCTGGCAACCCCCGCCAGCCCCGCCCCCCGCTACACCGAACCTGCACGGGTCACCCTCGTCTCTCCCGGGGTCCCTGCCTGGTCGGGTGCTGCCACCCCTTTTCCGGGGCCCTGATGCCAAGGCTCCGGGCGGGGCACTCCGTGTGCGTCGGGCCCCACGGCCAGTACCCACGCTCGCAGATTCCAGCCCGCTGACCACCCAGAGCTTGGCAGAGAAGGGACCCGCCTCGCTTCCCGGGCGGCGGGCCGGCCGGTGCCCGTGTGGACGCCCCCGGGTGCTGCTGCCTGCCCTCCCCCGCTGTGCGGCCGCCGCCCGCTGCTTGCTGACCTCTCTCTCTCTCTGTTTCTGTCTGTCCCTCTTCCTGTGTGTTCCGTAGAGGATGTAGCAAATTTAACAGCCAGTGATGTCATGAATCGGGTAAACCTGGGATATTTGCAAGGTAATTCTGCTCCGGCTGCCGCACCAGGGGGCAGCCTAGTGTCCGCCCCAGCCAGGCAGGTGGACAGGACAGGAGATAGGACAGGGTCCCTGCAGGCGCGGGCTCACCTGCTCCCAGAGCAGCCCGTGGCGGGGACCTCGACAGCCCCCTCCTCCTCTGTCTGCGGAGGACGCACTGACCCCAGGAAGGCTCGTGGTTTGCGTGGCCCCTGGCGGTCACTGCGCAGCCCTTGGGCTCCCCCCTACCGACCGCGAGTTCAGTGAGGTCTGCTGTCCGCGTCTGTCCTCGCATACTGGTGGCTGCCGGCCCTCAGCTGGCCCCAGATGCCCCGCGGCCCTGAGCCCACCCTGCTCTGGGGAAGCATCCGGACAGACGTTCCCAGCCTGGGTCCCACCTCCAAACGTGGCGGGGCCTGCTGAGCCCCGGGCCAGCGGCCGGGCCGCCCCGGGCCAGGTGGACAGGTGACGCCCACACCCAGCAGGGGCTTCAGGAGGGAGCTCCCTGTCCAGTTGGGACAAAGCCTGTGCATGCTCCATTTCTCATCCAGGGGCTCTGGTTTCCTCCAAGAGGTCACCCCGCGGCCCCCCCAGATCAGCCCTGGGACCCCCACAGAAGTCAGAGCAGAGTCTGGGCCACCGGCCCCGCTGCCAGCACCCCTTCCTTCCCCCCCGCCCCCGGGGCTCCGCGCAGCCCTAGGGAAGCCTCAGAGCCCGTGTGCCCAGGCGCCTTGGGGCGGCCCCTCCATACAGGGCTCACCCCGGAGGGGACACACCCAGGCCCAGGAGAGAAAACCTCGTGGGTCACAGCCCCGTCGGGGGCCGGCCCAGCTGGTCCCGTGCTGGCGAGTCACTGGCATCTCCTGGGCTCGCGCCCTTTTCCCCGAACCCGACGCCCGTGATGGTGGTCACGGAGGGCCCACGGGGTCGGCACGGATCCCAGTCCGGCAGCTTCCACAAACGGTGCCCGGCTGCAGTCTTGCTTCCCCCCGAGGCTCCCAGGCAGGGGCGGGTTCACCTGCAGGGTCCCCAGAACTTGGTGGTGTTTACAGAGGCCCCTGCGTGTGGTCGCTGAGAGGTGCCCGTGGCAGGACGTACGTAACGCCGGAGGAGAGGGAACCACGTTAGCCGGGGCTGCAGGGTGGTCCCCGCCCCCAGGGAGGGCACCGTCACTAACTGCCCGTACAAGTGTATGCCTCACCCCTGCTCACCGCCTGCCCTGGAGGGTGGGCGCAGGCTCGGTGAGGTGCGGACCCCAGGGGACGGGGCCAGGAGCCACAGGCCCAGGTTGGGGACGGGAGTGGAAGGACCTGGCCTGCAGGGCTGGGGGGAAGGGGGTGCGAGGATGGGGTAGGGAAGGTGACTCTGCCTTTGCTCATTTGCCAGAAGAGCCACCGTCAGCCACCCTGCCCCCCCCCCCCCCCCCGGGCCCCCCCCCCACCCCGAGGCACACCAACAGGCCCGGCTCGGGCCAGTCCCAGGCTCTGCTAATTGCATCCACCCAGGGGGGGCAGCAGGGGCCCAGGCCGGGTGGGGAGGGCCCCACGGGCCCCCCAGCAAGAGAAGACGGGCGCCCGGCTGTGGCTGCTCGGCCACCGAGGGGTGGAGCCAGCGGCTGCCCGGCCCCTAACCCTTACCGTGTCCCGACCCGGTGTGCCTCGGCATGGCCAGCCCGCTGGCACCGGGATCGGAGGGTCTCCCCCACACCGCCTCCCCTCCCCTGCACGCCCCGTGAGGCCCACTGGGGAGGGAGGCGCCTGCCGGGCCCGGGGCCGCGAGGTGCACCGACCGAGCCACCCTGCTCGCGGCTGGCGGCTTCCACCAGAGGGCTCCCGACACGGGCGCGGTCACCAGGCAGAGCAACTCGCCCTCCAGCGGTGGGAGGGACAGGCTGCCCAGCAGTGCGTGTCCATCGGCCCCCCCCGCTCCCAGCCTGGGCCCCCGCCCGCCCCCCCACAAAGCTGCCGCGCTCGACCTCTGGCCGCAGGGGTCAGACTCCGCTCCGCTCCGCTCAGAACTTCTGGGTCCAGGGCCGAGACGCGGCCCCCCGCCCCCGTGGCCAATCCCCTTAACGCCTGCTCGGGGTCGGGAGGTGCCTTTAGACCTCACCACAGGGGTAAACAGAGGCCAAGAACCATTCGTTTCCCCGTCCGGGGACACGGGGCCTCTGCCAGGACGGCCCGCCCCCAGCCCTGCATGCGGCCAGGGGCCATCTGTGGCGGGACTGCTGTTTCTCCAGAGCCCACTCTCCCCACCGCGGGCTGCGTCCCCACGGCCACGCGTGAGCCGGAGACCGGGCCGTCCCTGCGCCCCCGGGGCCCCGCGGGCTGACGCGGCAGGAGCAGGTTGTGGGGAAAAGGAGGAGCGTCCAAAGCGCAGAACTGAGCCGGGCGTGTGGGCGGCCTGCCTGGCGCGGGGGGGCGGGGTCAGGTGTCAAGGCGCGTGCGCGTTCGTGCAGGGGGCCGCAGGTGTGCTCCGTGCCTCTGCTCAGGGCCGCCACCTCCGTGACCGGCCCCGTGCGGGTCGCCGCCGGCCCCTCGCGGCTGACCCCGGCAGCAAGCCTGGACGGGCCGGGAAGACTCCGTGGCCGGGCCCGGCGGAGTGGACCGGGGCGGTGGCCGGCGGTGACCCGCACGGGGCCTGTGTCTTTGCAGACCAGATGAACGACCAGCAGAACACGCTGTCCTACGTCCTCATCAACCCCCCGCCCGACACCCGGCTGGAGCCCAACGACATCGTGTAGGTCCCGCGTCCCCCCACGGGCGCCCGGCGGGGGCGGGGGCGGGGGCGGAGGCTGGCACCCAGGGCTCTCCCCCTCCCCGGCAGGTATCTCATCCGCTCCGACCCCCTGGCCCACGTGGCCAGCAGCCCCCAGAGCCGGGAGAGCAGCGTCGGCAACAAGCTGGCCTCGTGGCACCCGGAGACGCGGGACGAGACGCAGCTCTGAGCCGGCCCGCGCCCCGTCCCCACGTCGGCATGCATCGCGCTGCATGGAGCGCGGGGCCCCTGCCACGCCGGCCCGGCCCTCGAGGAGTCCTCCCACGGCCGTGAGGGAGGACCGTGCCTCCGCCTGCCGGGAGGAGCTGGCGGCGAGGCCTTTTTTAACCTGTTTTTACAGACCCATCCGATCCGCGTCCCCACGTGTACCGCAACTCGTGACGGGGCCCGGCTGCGTGGGGAGGGGTCCCGCCGCCCTGGCCGCGCCGCAGGCTGAGGCCGGGGTGCGTGGGGAGGGGAAGAAGCTGAGCCCGACACTCGTGCGCACTCACTCGCGCACACGGCTCACGCGGGAGCCGCGTTTTCACGGCCACGTACCGAAGGCCCGCTCACGGGGCTTGCCCGTGGCTCGCGTGTTCTGTGGGTCCCAGCTGGCCTCGGCCACACGGTGGTGAGGGTCTGGCCCCAGGGGGCTCCCGGCCGGTGAGCTCTGCAGCCCCGTGCGCCGGGCGCAAGAGGGAAGCCGTAAACACAAGAAAGCTGCAGGCGTCCAGCTGGGCCGCGAGACCCTCCGGAAGCCGGGCATGCTTGGGGGACGTGGAGGGGCCGGGCAAGACCCCCGCAGGGGCCCGAGGACACCTGAGAGTTCCTGCAACCAAGGCCTTGGTGACGAAAAAGGAGACGACGTCCTTCCCCTCTGGTTTTACGTGACCCGTCGCACCCCGGCCCCTGGGCGCTGGGCGTTGGGCAGGGGCGGTGCGTCGGCACAGGGTTCCACGCCCATTAGCGCCCCATGGAAGCACAATTCACCGCGGGATGCTGGCCCGGGTTTTCTCCTCAGCAAGGGAAGGAGCCTGGGTGGTGGCCGTTGGGGACAAGCCGCCTGGGTTCCTTTGTGACTGTGACAGGTGTTGCACGGTCAGTGCTGGAACCTTCTATTAAATGGATGCTTTCTGCAAACGTGAGGGTCGTGTATAAGCCGTTTCCTCCGCGGCCCCACCCACCCGGTCGCACCCCACCCCACCCCACCCGGACCCCACGGGGAAGCCCCCGCCCCGAGGAAGGGCCACTGGCCTGAGCCGAGACCAGGAGGCGTCGGGCCGGCCCGTGGGTACTGGCCGCTGGGAAGCACGGCTGGGGCGAGGGCTCCCCGGCGAGCGGCCCGGCGGGTGTTGGGGTCCCCTTCAGAGGGTGGGGCCGCCCCAGGGGGTGTGCACCAGCACAGGGGCATCCAGGTTTGGGTCCTTCATGTTCACGGGGAGCACCCCACGACGCCGGGTGAAGGGGAGGGGTCAGCACGGCCTCCGGATGGCGGCAGCGGGCAGAGGGGCCTGCCCGAGGGAGGGCTGTGACCCCGCACCAGTTCCTCCCCCGGCGCCCCGCTTGCCTGGGACACGCTGGCCCGGTGGCCCCCAAGCCCTCGGTGTGTGGCAGGGCCGGGAGGGCGGGCGCTGTGGACGGACTGGGTGGGGGTCGCCCGGGGCCCTGGACAGTCCGGGCCGGCACACCGTGGGCCCCGGATCCGTGCCGGCGGGTGTCGGCGGCTCACGGGGCCCTGCCGGCTGGCATCCCCTCCCATACCAGCATCCGGCCGCAAGGGACCCAGCCTCCCCTCCTGGAAGCCACTGCCCGGCTCCCTGAGGGAGCGGAGGGGTAAAGGACGCTCCCCGCCACCAGGACCGGGAGGGGCTCGGGGCCTGCAAGTCTGGGGTCACCGGCACAGGTGGCGGGGACGGCACCAAGACACTGGGGGCAGGCTTCCCAGCAGGGGTCCTCAGCCACCAGCGGACGCGCCTCCTGTCTTCTTCCCGAGCCAACACAACTGCCCGCGGGGGGGCGCTCCAAGTCTGAGATGGCAGCCCGCCTGCCTGGGGCTGGGACTGGGCAACCCCGGCATTCCCGGCCCCCAGGGGCAGCCGGCCGGCCAGGACCACCTTCACCCCCCAGTGAGGCCAGCAGGAGCCCGGGGACACCCAGAGTGGGGCCGTTAGCCCAGGACCGTCCACCGACGGGACCCGGGCCAGGCCGGGCCCTGCGGGCGTCTTCCACGGGCACCCACGGTGTCTCTGGACCCTCTGCCTTGCCCTGGTTGCAGAGCACTGAGCTGGCGGTGAAGGCCACCATCAGGTGTGGCCTGACCGTCCAGCCTGGCCCAGGGCCCGGGGTCTTCGGGGGAGGGGCCACCCCCTCCCAGGGCGCTCTGCAGGGGCCCCTGCCTCAAGGGGGCAGTGGGCACGGCCTCTGGGCCACACAGGCAGGCTCCTGGGGTCCCCCGGCTCCACAAGTGGACCCCTTCTCGGAGGGGCTCCTCAGAGGCGCTTCCCGGGAGGTCTGCAGAGTGCCTGGCTCCCGGGTCCTCACAGCCACTGGCCCTGTGCTTCTGGGGTCCGTCCGGGGCTGTGCCGGGAGGACTGCTCGCCCAGGCCACCTCCCTGTGGCCCCGTCCCACGTCCAGAGCCCGCAACTGGGCATCTGCCACAGCCCCCATTCTGTCCTATCTCAGGGTCCCGGCCCTTCAGGACAGAGGGGGTCCTGGGACGCTCCTCACCCACCTGGGGCTCTGAGGTGGCCCTTCCGAGGGGAACCCCTTCCCCTGGTGCCTCCTTGAGAGCTGGTGCTGACGTGCACGGGAGGCGCCGGGCGTCTCAAAGCCCCTCTCCAAGCCTGAAAGACAGGACAACAGCACAGGCACCTTTGTCCTTGGTCCCCAAATCCAAACCCAGGAGTCAGCTGATGGAGCCACACACCATCTCCAGAGACTTGCGCCCGGGGCTGTGCTCCACCGGTGGACTCACCTGGCCGGGAACCCACCTGGGTGACCTGGGGTCTCCCCAGCTGTGTCCTGGCCACGCCCCGCGGCCACTTGCTTCCCTCCCCCGCCCTGCTCCCCCCCGCCCTGCCGCTCAAAACACTTTCCGATCGGCTTGTCCTCCAGCCCCCTCTCTGGGCTCCAGGACCTGTCATCTGCTCCTCCCTGCGTTTCTCGGAGGACTTTCTCATTTCTGCAAATAACGATCATTTGGGTTTTTACCTTCTACTGACCTCTTAAAAAACAGCCAGTTATTTGACCCACAAGACGACTTTATTTGGGAACGGCGGACGCGTGCAACTCAGAACAAGCAACCTGTGGCGAGCCCCGGAGCTCCAGGGCACAGAGCAGGGGAGAGGCGGCCGCCAGGGGCTGTTTCTCCTCCCTCCCTCCCGCGGGCTCCCTTCCTCCTTCCGGGCTGAAGGCGAGTGCTGGTGCGCGGGCTCCTCCTTCCGGACGCCGCCGGTGACGCGCTTCCGGTCTCCACGCGTCACGCCTCCTCGGTCCTTCCGCTGTTGCCACGGCTCAGGTGTGCGGTGAGCCCTTGGCTGGCCCCTGGGGCCCAAGGCCACCTGGCCTCCCCCCCGCGACCCAGACGGGGATCCTTCCAGCGTCCCAACCGCTAAGCGTGGGGCTTGCCGGAAGTCTGGGCAGGTGTTGCCAAATGGCACGAGTTCTAACTGCAAAACGTGTCGTGAACACGGACCGATGGCCGCCAAGTACTTTCCCGTAGTGTCTCTTATGCTTAGTGTGAGTCGCCCCCCGGCGTGGGCACGTGTGCGCTCCTGACCCACCAGGCACGGTGCTTACCGTCCCGCGCCGCCGCCGGGTTGGCTTCTCGGCTTCGGCTGGCCTGCGGCACGTGCACTGGGCGGGGACAAGCCGACCGCAGCTTCCTGTTCTCGGGCTTCTCCTCGCGTTCCGGCACGCCGCCGTGCTGTCACCGGCCGGCTCTCCTGTGTCGTCTTCCCTTTCGGCGGTGTCCCCTTCTGACACGCGTCTCTCCCTTCCCCCTTTTACTAGTCTTTTAGCCTCCCCGCTGAAAGCTCGTTTCGCTGGTTTTCCACCTTTCTTAACGTTTTCAAAGTTCATCTACTTCCTTAAGCCATCTCTACCCCCAACGTGGGGCTCGAACTCACCACCCCAAGACCAAGAGTCGCCCCCGCTCTTTCTTAATTTTTAGCAAATACGTTTAAGACTACAAATTTCTGAGGGTGGTTTTGGGGGCACGTAGGTGGCGTCGCACGAAAGTACGCGAGCCACTCTTGGCCGGGGCACCTGCTCTCCCAAATATCAAGACTTGCGACCAGGTCACAGGAAGCGACCGGGGGCAAGGTGCCGCAGAGAGGGACAGGTGGATGGGGTGCTCCCTCCTGTCGCCGCAGTGGCTGCGGACGCGAGCGCCCCGCCTTCACAGTTCCGTACCGTCGGAGCCACGAGGCCGGTCTCCCTGCGTGACGCCCACTCCTTCCAGGAGGCCCCCGGGGAGGGAGGGTCCGCTGCCCGGTCCCTCCCTCCACCGTCAAAGCCCTTCCGCTGCTGCCGCATCTCTCTCTCCCGCCTCCCTCTGGCACCTCTGAGGACCCGTGAGCACACGGGGCTCACAGGACAACCCGGGTCGCCTCCCATCTCAAGGTCGGCTGCCTTACCCCTTCCACCCCCTTGTCACCCAGCAAGCACAGTCCCAGGGTCTGGAGAGGAGGCCGCTACTCTGCCTCCCACGTGGACCGAGAGGCCAGGAGAGCCCATCGCGGCTGCGTCGCGGCAGAGGCAGGATGCCGGGGAAAGGGGGTGCGGGGCGCTCCGAAGGGCTCCGGGTCCTCAAGCTCCTGCAGAGAACGGGGACCGGGCTGCTCCCTCCTATGCGGCCAGGAACGCCGGCTCCAGGTGCACAAGGACCCAAACGCAAACGCCCAGGATACAGGCTGCACGAGTTCATTTGCAAAATACCTTCCTAAAGTCCTGGTAGCTCTGATGAGAACCACGGCAACTAGGCCACATGAACCTGAGGAACTTGTGTGGATCAGGACACCAGACAGTGAGAAGCCACAGGATGGGACACTTGTCCTCGTCTGTGTGTCACCTCTCAGAAATTCACCTGCCGGGAATTAATTAGAAAGAGGCAAACAACCCAGCAGAAAAACAGGCAAAAACACGAACAGGCATCTTCCGGGAGGAAAACCAAAATACCCAGCAAAGATGTGAAAACACACTCTGCTTTCCTGTGACCAGGGAGATGCGGAGTCACAGCACCGAGAGCGGCCGCGGGAAGAGCCCGCACGCCAGGGGCCCGCGACCCCTGAGCTGTGCAGACTCGGCACTGGCGGGAACACGGAGATCTGGAGCACGCCAACGTCCTCCCCTCGAGCCCTGGAGACCCCGGGCTTCCAGGCCCGTCTCCCCACGCGGTCTGCACTGCATCACCCAGGCCGCTTCGCGGGTCTGACATGCACTTGCCCACCCCCCCCCCCACCCCCACCGAGCGTCCCTCAGGTCGCACGGGTCTCAGCCGCAGTGCCGTGGCCCGGCCTAGCTGGCCGCACTTCAGACAAGGGTGCCCCTGGAGACCACTGACGCCCCCGTACTTCCTGCCCCTGCAGCTCCACGAGGGCTGGACGCGTCCCGTGTGCGGCATCCACACCTGTGGGCGCCCGAGACGGTGGGAGCCGTGTCCCTCCGCGAGGGGAGAGATGGCTCCCGGCACCCGTCACACTTGGGAGCTATTTACACCTTATGCTTTCACCGAAGCCGTTAGGTTTTAAGTAAACAAAGTCAAATTTAACAGCGTGGCAAGCAGGGACCGTCTCACTCAGTGAATCCGTTTCCAGCCCAGGCGAGGAGCAGAGCTCCGAGTGGGCCGTGCCAGCCAGCGCCCGCTCCGACTCGGCGGGCTCCAGGACCCGCCCACCCTTGCGGGAGGTCCCGCTGCCCCGGCCTCGCATTTCGGGCAGAGCCTGCCGTCCGCACCCCGATCCTAGGCGACGGTGTGCTACCCCTGCAGGCCTTCGAGACGAGCGGTGCGTCACCAGCTTTAATTTAGGAGCAAACAGGTCAGGATCGCGGCGTCGCCGTCAATAACCGGGTATAAACCCTCAGACTGAAAAAACAAACCCATGTTAAGAAAACCCAGCCTCCAGCACGGTTTCCAGATGTGCGTTCCGGAGCCTGGTACGGAAGGACTGGAGCCTCCGCCGCGCTGGGCCGGGGAGCGGGAGCGCCATCCCTCGGGGCCGGGCCGGGAGCACCGGGAGGTGGCCGCGGACCCTCGGCGACCGCCTGCCGCCACACTGCCCCGGGGCCGGTTCAACGTCAACACGGGACAACGCTCCGCGGGCCAGAGGTCCCCACGCACGGAGGTTTTTGCAGGAAGCGTCAGTACCGTCGCTGCTTCCTGCAACACCAGGCCGTCCGTCCCCGGAGCACTGACGCCCCCGAGTACCGGCTGCTTACGCCGGGAACATCACCCCCCACCTCCTTCCCACTCTCTGCTTCTTCACTTCCCTGTCCTACCGAGGGCGGTTTTCGCCGGGTCAGCCCCAAACGCTCACTGCCTGCCGCGCGTGCCTGGCACAACGTCGAGCCCACAGGCGCGTCGGCAGGACAACCGGAGCACGCCCAGATTCTCTGGGGGGCCACCCCCTTTTCGGCAGCTAAGGTCACTTGAGGGCTGTTTACAGCATGGCCCTCCCTCCACAAAGCCCTTCCGGAGGCTTCTCCCGGGCACTCAGAGCTCACGGCTCTGGCACGAGGCTGATTTGGCTGAGCACCATTCACTTATGAGTCTAAAAAGGCCCTTTGTGAAAACGCAGCAGGCTGCACGCTGGGATTCGTTAACTTTTCTGTGGGTGAGCTCTGCTTCAGGATAAAAAAAGAACGGGGGGACCCCTGGGAGGCTCAATCAGTTAAGCGCCCAACTCTTGGTTTCGGCTCAGGTCATCATCGCGCGGTTCGTGGGTTCGAGCCCCGCGTCCAGCTCTGCACGGATGGTGCGGGAGCCTGCTTGGGATTCTCCCTCTCTCCTCCCTCCCTCTCCCTCTCTCTGACCTTCCCGTGACTCTCTCTCAAGATAAATAACCTTAAGAAAAACAAAAAAAAAGAACAAGGATTGGTTTACAATGAAAACAAACGTCATCTGGAATAAAAGGGCAAAAAGTAAGTCCCGCCTCCTGCAAATCTGCAGGCGAGGGAGTCTCATCAGCTCGACTGAAACCGCCGCGTGACAGCGGGCCTCGAGCGAGCCGGCATGCCCCTGGCCCTGGCGGCCCCTCTGCGCCCTCTGGCTGCGGACGACCCCGAGACCGCGTCACCGTCCATTTGACCCACCACGTGAGATGGCGCTGTGACCAGCCACAGCACTTCCTCTTCGTGATGACGTACAACAGTGAGGGGCAGTCTGTCCGGTTCTTTCTAGAACGAGAGAGCGGTGACACGAGATCGTTTCTTGCCTGGCGTCGTGGCCTTCTGTCCACCTGGGTCTGGTGGCACGTCACATCCTGAGGACACCGTCGCCTGCGCCATCGGCACAGAATGCGGGTAGAGTGTCCTGACGGCCCCAACACGGGAGCCGCGCAGAGGACAGGGGCTTCGCGCCCCCGGCTGGCAACACACACCCGCCCCCACCCCACTTCCGGGGAAGCGGCTTCAATGCTGTTGCCGTGTCTCTGCAGCCAAGGAAGGTTTTCCCGACACACGCCTGTCACAGCCTCGCGCCTGCGTGCAGGCCTGGACTGTGGCGTTTATGCATCGCTTCCCTCCACTGTTCACGCCGCTGTAAGGACCCACCGGCGCCATCGAGGAGACAGCAAGGCGCCCCGAGCTGCTGAGAAAAGACGCCACCCTGGGCACGACCTGCTTCTCCACCGACGCGAACGGACGCGAGCAGAAACGCAGCCACAGCCTTCCACGCGCCACACGCTCCGACACAAAGACGTTCAGACCCCATCCCACGGAAGGAGCCGGCACCGATCATCGAAGGCGACGCAAGTTCATTCCAAAGGGAAAGTTTCTTTCAGCAAATACTTTCCCGTCCGAGTGACAACCACAGTTGCAAATGCAGCCAAGGACCGACTTGAGAGCCCCCCCCCCCCCGACTCCCGCCCCCTCCGCCTCACTGAGGGCAGCTCGGGGGGCTGCAAGACCAGACCAGAGACGGCCCTGGTGTGGCACACTGAGGACACGGGGCCGACGGGCCTGAGGGCACCTGTACGCACACACATCTGTACCCACAACACTTGTGCACGCCTGTGTATGGGCACGAGATAAACGTCACCACGGGACTCACCCACTCCAGTGTCATTGATCTCAAACATCCACCCTCTTGGGCCCCCGGGACTCTGTGTCAAGACCAAGAACTTAAACTTCGCACGTTCCATCATTTGCTCAACGCTTTTGTTACAAAATTAAGTTCTCTACAGGCAGACGAGTGGCAATACGAGACGCACATTTGCACGGTAAGAATTTACAACAGGACGCAAGCCCCAGAAGGGCGCTGGCGAGCGTGAAACATTCACAGAGCTACCAGTGCAATCCTAGAAACTGAAAAACAACGCCTGCCGCATCGGGCCCAAAGAGACGAAAATCTCGACCGCAAAACGCATCCCGTGTGTCCGAAACTTTCCATAGTAAAAACGCCCGCCACACCATTCGGCGCACAAAGAACCCAGAGGGCGCCTACCGGCCCTTTAAGCACACACGTCGGCTGCCGTGACCGACAGAGCATGCCCACGACGGTCAGGGCACCCCAGAGGCTGACTCGCCACACCGAGAGATCCTGAACTTTCCCATCAGTCTGGTGGGAACGACCGCCCAGCTCTCCGCCGGGAGCACCCCTGCGTCTCCGTAGAGAACAATCCCACCCCACTCGCTCCGCGCGGCCACGTCGAAACCGGCGGCGACGCAGTCGCACGTTTTGACTTCGCAGAGGAAGCAGCTGGGAGGCCTCCCCACCCGACGGGCCAGAAGGAGGTGCTTTTCGAGAAGCGTGTTGGTCAACTAACGACGCGAAACTCCTCAAAAGACGCCGACCCACAGAAGGAGCCACAACAACCTCACACATGTGTGATTACTAAAAAGCAAATTAATTACTTTATTACATCTCGGTGCTTTCTTAAAATAAATAGGATAAGAGAATATCGAACATACAGCGAGAAGCACAGGAGAACAAGTTCACTCAGGACCCTTTCCGAGCACTCGGCTTGCGGCCCAGGCGGCCTCCACGACCCACTCGCAGGACGCGGCTGCCGCGGACACGGTACTTACAGACGAATCTTCGGAAGACGGGGGCGCAGACGGGGGAAGCGGGAGGGAGGCCCACAGCCCCCCCCTCGGGGTCTGTAGCCTGCTCCCCCCTCCCTGAGGCACGGGGCTCACTTACCTCGTACTCCACCCACAGTTAGGGAGCAGCTACGTTTGCCTAACTTTTCCTACGGATCTTCGGCGTCTCTACAGTTCAACACAGATTCAAGTAACACTCCCAAGAAGACATGTGCAAAACTAACGTGACTCCGGAATCTTCTGGCCGTCGGGTCAAGGCTCAGAGCAGCTGGTCCATCACACGGCGTCAGGCCTGCGACCACGCGACGGCCAGGCAGAGGGGAGCCGCGGCGCACACCCGGCGGGGCCGAAGGCCGGTCTCCCGGGAGCATCTGGTCCGGAGAAGCGTTAGCGACACGACCGTCTGGACCAACGTGGAGAGAACCCAAAGCCGCTCCACCGCAAATGACCACTTACGCCGCTTTTAAAGGCCCAACGAACAAGATTATCAATCTGGACGAGGAGCCGCGCACTCCTCTCGGGGCCTACTGCTCTTCGGAACAAGAATCAAGACAAGTCACGGAGCGATACGGCCGCCAAAGGGACCGTCGGCTTAGCGCGTCACCTCTCAAGAGAAACATGCTCAGAGTGAACACTGGTTTACTGTACCAAAATCTGTCTTTATTAAAGTGAACAAATCATCAGAGCGCAATCCCAAACTCCGGGAGCGATGGCGGTCACCTGCTCCGCTCGTCTATTTCCAATGAGGCGAAGGCCGGCTGATGGCACCACTCACCGTCCTCATGATTGCGTGGCAGAAAACCATCACGTCTGTAAACGTCATCTTAGTAGGAGACAGACTTTGCAGATTTCAGTGCTTTTAGTGAACTGGGGTTTTCAGTAAACGTTTTCTGAGCAGCAAAGAACAAGAATTTTTTTCAGAAATCTTAGAACTGGATATAAACATTGGCAGTAGACACAATCAATAAATATCATACAGTTTCTCAAACGAACAAGGTTCCCCCAACTTGAATTCCTTTCCTAACGACATTCAAACACCCTGACCCGAGACCGAGCCTCAGCCCTGTGACCCCCACAGGATTACAGCCGGCCGGCACGGGGGGGGGGGGGGGGGGGGGGGGACGGGTA